GACAGTTATGTTTTCCTGCCCTGAGCCCTCATCTGAACGGCACGGAATAGTTTCCACTTTTGTAGAACTGATGGGCCGTGATGACATACCTGACTACTGTCTATACCGGAATGGGACGCACGGTCATTAGAGCTGCATTTTTCAACTTTCAGTCTAGATGCAGGGATAATGACCGTGCTCTTTCTATTCGGGCGAAGACGATAGTGTAGTAAACTGCCGGATTAGAAGGTTGAGATCCAAGCTGTTGAAGATAGCCTGCGGTCTGATGATCAGTCTTCCCTGTTCCTGTGCACCACCCTCTTTAACCTCTTTGTTGTTGAAGACCAGATGTGGGCGGCTGTGAACAGCAGATGATGTAGTTTGCAACTTTGCAAAGTTGGAGACGGGCTGCTCCTCTTCATCATGACATTTCGCTCCTGAATCTAGTGCGCTGTCGTTGCCTGTGCTCATCATCACCTCTGCAGCTGCCAATCTTCCAGGAATTATTGCATAATTGTCAATTGAACAATAATGACTGTCGATTTTGTCGGGAAAGGTACTTCATCAAACTAATCCCTGTGTGCTAGGTGTCGGGCTTTTTTTTTTTTTTTTTTTCCTCCTTTTTCCCTTCTTTTTTATTTTTTTATTTTTAGCAGCCCCTTCTATTCTGGGGGGCATCAGTCCGGTTGCTCATCACCGGCAAGCCTGGAAAACAAAGTACAGTTTGGTTTGAAAGAGAAGAGGAAAGCCTTGCCCTTGCTCTAGACGCCGTTCAAGGGGGGGGGCTGCTACAACCAAAACCCACTTCCCATACCATAGCCTCCCCAGGGAAACCTCTGTTGGTCGGGAAGCTTCCTAGCAGCACCCAGCCGCGCAAGAGATGGGTCCCCAGGGAAGGCCTGGCTCGGGGGGGCTGTTCTAGCAATCTCGCGGGCCTCACATCCTCTTAAAACCCTTCCTCTGTTCCCCCATTAAAATCCTCTGGCTGCCATCTAGTATTTACAGCCCTAACCACTTTTCCCTCCAGTCTCTAGTAAGCACTCCTTTGTGCAGCCTACCCCGAGTCTCTCTTATATTCTGAAGTCTCATCTACATCTTAAACCTATCACCTTTGTCTTTAATATCTACCCTACTGATATGTTTGCGAAAAAAAAACAAAGATCACCCTTGCCTTATTTGCCCGCCCTCTAATTCACAACCCAATCTGAGGGCAGTAGGTTTCTCTTATTTCATCATGGAAAAAACCTTGCTGAGCACCTAAGGCCAAAATAGGCTTATTCCAGTTATACAAAAAACCTTCCTAAACGCCTAAAGCCAAGTAGGCCATCCATGTTCTGATCTAATTGAATCTTGTCCCCAGCAGTATATTCAGCAGTATATTCAGCATTCAAATATAACCCATGTCCCTTCCTCTACCATATTTTTTCATTTTTCAGTTTTAGCTTGCCCTCCCGTTTCCCCACCATTACCGTCTCCCACCCTCTCTCTGCTCCCATATCCTCCCATTCTCTATAACCTATCTACCCAATCCCCAATCTATTCTATCGACTGATTGCTGCTTGTGTCCTCTTTTTCCAAACCGGGCACATAGTGTTTCAGGACTGGTCCAAACTGCAACTGTCCTGTAGTAGGGTCTTGCGCCAGCATCTGCGGGAACGGGGCCCATTTCTGCCAAAAGCTGTCACCTTGGCCTCCCCTATGCGTCTACTTCGGTGCAGATTGCAGTATAGCAATGCGAATATTCTCCAGTGCGCTCTCCTGATAGGCCGAAGTGGCAGGGACGTTCCTTGCCTACATCTTTCATTTCTCAATGTCCACAGAGCCCATAACACCGCTGCCCTTACGTCTTCCACCACCATTTCAGCCATGCCCCGCCTACTTGCCTTGACCAGGGTACCCAGCAAGATATCTGCGTCGGTCGTTTCATCCACCTGTAGCGGTGTCTTATCTGCCATTTCCTGCGCCCACCACTCCCAAAACTCCTGCACCCTTGGACATCGAACAAAAAGGTGGGGGACCGTTTCAACCTGGCCGCAAGCTGCAGCACAAGTTTGGTCCTTATGACAACTCTTGGTAGCCTGCCACTGCACAGTCGGGATTGCCAAATGGCAAATCTGCCATAGCAGGCCCGCCTGCTTCTGGTCTGGCAAGGCAGCCATGTTGTTGCATTGTTCATTCCACCTTTGTGAGTCCATAGTAAGGCGCACGTCTGGGAGCCACTCCCGTTTAACCCACCTAACCCGTAGCTTTTTTTTTTTTCTTTTTTTTTTTTCTTTTTTTTTTTGTTGTTGTTGTTGTTGCCGGGCTTCGCTCACTGTTGCCTTTACGGTGTAAGGTGGTTCCCTTCTGTTCCTTACGTTTTTGAGGCCCCCTTATGCTCTTGTAGTACTTCGTTCCGTATTCTGCTCCCGTCTTTAAAGTCCCCTTGTGCTCTTGTATTAGTACGGTCTGTATTCTGCTATTGGGGGAGAGCGACAGGTATTGATCATTGTTCTTGTCTTATTGCGACCGTCTTTCATCACCTCCCTGTCTAGTATCTACTGTGTTCCACGCCATTCGGGCCCCGTTTACCATGCTATCCTCCTCGGATAGCCCGGCTGGCTCCTTGCATCCTGGGGCTAAAAATTGCATCCAGGGGCTAAAAATAGAAAGTGTGCCTGTTTAATCCTCCTTGCAAGTTCCTACCGGTAGCTCTTTCCTTGGTGGAGAATTTGCTGTAGTCGCGATATTGGAGGCCATCACACTGACTGTTTAGGCAAAGGGAGAGGAGACACCTCCTTCATGAGAGTTTGGGCGAGATTAATCTTCTTGTGGTGTTCCGTTCCCCCTTTTACCCCAATCGTCTGCACCTTTCCCCCCCTTCTTCTGCCTTTTCCTTTTCTTTCGTGCTTTCCCCCTCCTTTACCCCCTCCCCGTCCTCTCCATCCCCCTCCCCAACCCCCCAGTTTTCTTTCTGTGCTTTCCTCTTCCTTCCCCTCTATCCCCCCCACCTTCTCCCCTCCCTTCCCCCTTCTCTCGTCAGACCCTTTTCTTTTTGTTTTTTTGTTTGCTCTCCTCTCACCTCACCGTGTCCTGCACATTCACGTAACTTCCCCTGCTGTGGACCAATCCTATGTTCTCACGTGTTTGGGTTTTGCTGCCTGTTTGAATGTGGTTGGCCTCGTGTTCATTGCTGCCTATTGTTTGTGAATGTGATTGTGATGTCGAATACAAGACTCGAACACACAACCAATGTTTGGCAGGCTAACACCTAACCATAAGGCTAAATGGGCTGGGGTGAAAGTGAAGCCCCAAGATGAGCACTGGCCTCCTGCTGATTGCTGCCTATTTGAATGTGATTGGCCTTCTGCTCACTGCTACCAGTTGGATCCGCTGGCCTCCTGCTCATTGCTGCCTATTTGAATGCGATTCTCGTGCTCATTGCTGCCTATTTGAATGCGATTGGCGTCCTGCTCATTGCTACCTCTTCATTGCTGCCTATTTGAATGTGATTGGCCTCCTGTTCATTGCTGCCTATCTGAATGTGATTGGCCTCCTGCTTCATTGCTGCCTATCTGAATGTGATTGGCCTCCTGCTTCATTGCTGCCTATTTGAATGTGACGGGCCTCGTGCTGGCTGCTCCTTCTTTAAGCTAGGCAGTTCCTGGTACCATGTATGGCTGCTGGGGGCATACTTTGTCTGCTTATCCATTAGACCTGCTTTTGTATTATAGCGTCTCAGGAGGCTGAGGAAGGCTTCGGTGAGCTTTGTTCTTGAGATCACATGTTCTGTGGCATGAGTGCTGTGAGATTGAGCTTTTCTGTCACTGTGTTGGGGGCCCAATTACCTGCCACGACTTGCCATTGGAATGTCTCGTTTGTTTTCCCATTTTTCTTTTCGATTGTGGGAGGGGTGAACTGCAGGGTTTGGTCACTATCTAAATTGTTGTTTGAGCTTGTTCCACAGACATGGCAGACAGCCACTGTAGCTGATGGATAGCGCTATTGGGAGCTGGGTTAAAACATGGCTTTCTTTGATTCATCTGCTTTGTGATTGTATTTGCGTCTGTCTTTGTTTCTCCCCTCCCCTCCCCTCCCCTCCCCTCCCGTTTCTTTCCTTGGATTTGTGGGTGCAGCTGAGCACTCGGTGGGTGTTCATCTCTATTATGGTTGGATTTGGAACTCACACATACTCACACACACAGTCTCACCTTCTCTGTCCGCGTACTGGTGGGCTCGCTTGTCACGGATTTGTTTATGCCTATGTGTGTTGACACCACCGCACAACTTCAAAATGATGTGTGCTGAGCTGGGCGTGATGATCTTGGCCAATTACAGAGTAGCCGGCGTATGATGCTGCCCGTGACAGTGCACGAGTCTTGTCATGTGTTTTGCTTTTCATTTGTTGGGCCCAGAGCAGCCCAACGTCCGGGGGCGCTGAGGGTTGCCCAACATCCGCCCAGCCGCCCGCATATGAGCTGGAGGTTGTGCATGGCTGATGCTGCTATCTTTCACCGCCTGCCTCTATATGTGGATAGCACACAAAAGGAAGAGAAGAGAAGGGAAGGGAAGTGTGGCAAACTTGTTGTGAACTAACGCTGAAATGTGGTACATGATGAATAACAGGTATCCAGAAACTTGTCTCATCTCAGGCGTGTTTGCACAGAGCGTTACACATTGATGAAGAGATCTGAGTACAATTAGTCATGCTCGGAAGTCGTCATTTTCATATGTATCATCCTGAAGACAGTAGGCCATGCTGTGGCGGGGGTGTGTTACATCGTGGAGGTCATGAATTGTTTTCATGAATTGTTTTTTGAAGCTTTCTGGATGATGTCACAACTGCCACCATAACATCTTTCCTTTCCATGTGTTTGTTTGTTTGTTTGTGTGTTTGTGTTTGTGTGTTTGTGTGTTTGTGTGTTTGTTTGTTTGTGCGTGTGTGTGTGTGTGCGTGTCTGGTGTGTGTGCTGGGGAAGGACCTTGTGTTGTGTGTGGGTGTGTGTGTGTTGGATGTGTGGGAATTTGTGTGGAATGAACAGATACTCATTATTTTGAAGAACAACAGCATTGAGGGACTGAGTATTGCATCTTTTGAGCTGGAGACAGTGGGCTTCACTATAGCTCTATCGTATATATTGACAAAGAATCTCCCCTTCAGTGCCTATGGGGAGTTGGTGTTCCTTCTTATACAAGGTACACCTAGGCACCTGCCCTAAAGTTGCAGCATCTTGTGCTCAAACAGGTGATGCTGAAGTCTGAAGCAAGGGGAGTGACAGATTCATAAGAATCATAACTAAATAGTAAATTCATATTGTTGTTGACACATTTAAAAGGATGATTGGAGTGGAACAAAAACACTCCGCCTTTCCTTTCCTGCCCTGCCTTTGCCCTGCTTGATCCTGCTTTCCTCATGTCCCAACTCCCAAGGCTTTGCTGGTGCCATCTTATGGATTCTTTTTAAAACTAGGAATTCCCTCTGATGGTTTCCAAAACATGTTTTTGTTTTCCGCAAGACATGTCCGTGCTCGGAGAAAAAAAAATGTTATATCTGGAACAACAACGCTATTTCCTCCCTCCCCCCCCCTGATCCTTTCCTGCCCTCGGCCCTGCTTGATCCTGCTTTCTGCCAGCCCTTTTGATGCTTTTGATGTGCCTTTGGTTTCTGCTTCTGTGCCTTTTTTCGAGGTCGATCAGGGAAATGCTTCGATGGTTGATGCTTCTGAAGTTCTGATGTCCGTTGTTGTGCAGCAGTTCCTTTTCCTTTCCGTGTCCTTGCGTCATTTGGAATTGGCGTACCTGTGCAACTATGGAGGACCAGCTCTTAGCAACTAACATGTGTGGCTCTGCGCATATCTTTTTTGTCCCTTAATCTCTGCCTTTTTTATTTGTGTGGTTTCAGCCCTTGGGCTTAACGTACTCATCTACAGCTACCTGCCAAGCATTGAGCGGAGCACGGTTTTGAAGGGGGCTCTGTATCCTTGGAATTAGCAAACTGTCAGAACCAGCCTCAGATTGCTTGAATTCTTCTGAGATTCTTTTCAACCTGCAGAAGCCTTCAGAATCTGAACCTCGCAGAAGTAATCCTCCCGAGATCTGAGGTTCTTCTTGTAATCCTTGAAACCCTTACCACCCTCAAAATCATGTAAAGTTTGAAAAGACCTTGGAAGATTATAAGGAAGGAAATCCTGGAGACTTGAGAAAAGCCGTCGAAAACCCTTTGAAATGCGTTCCGTTAGAAGACCCTTCTCCGTGTTGAATCATTGAGAGCCCTTAAAAACCCTTGAACCCTGAAACCCTTCTCCGTCTTGAATCATTGAGAGCCCTTAAACCCTTGAACCTTGAAACCCTTCTCTGGCTTGAATCATTGAGAGCCCAATCATTGAGAGCCCTAAAACCCTACCTAAACCCTTTAGACCCTTTAAACCCTGAAACCCTGAAACCCCGAAACCCTGAAACCCTTAAACTCTGAAACCCTTAAACCCTTGAGCCTCTAAACCTAACCCTTGCAAACTTGGCTGGCCCATGAAGACTTAGTCTATCAATGCCCAAACCTACAGAATTCTCAACTGCCATCACGAGACATGCAGAGCTGTACGAACTCCTGACAACACTAAGGATCATAAAGGAGGAACTCCCAAATGTGCTTGGGCCAGCAACCCCAGCCGAAAATCGTAGTAAAATTTGATTGTTAGTAAGCACACTGTTTTTGTGTGGCCACATTCTTGGATTTGTTTTTGTATTGCTTTCTCTTTTTGGGTCTTTTGACTCTTTTGCGAAATGTTGACGTTGTTAAACCACCAGTACACAGCCACAGCCAAGTTGAGACATCCGATTGAGCTGCTCCAAAAATTTTGGAGGTTTGCATGCCGTTGATAAACTACGTCGGTCCGCGGCCGATGTATGGCATGTACTGGTGCTTGAGAGTGAAACCTGTGCTGGAGTTCCTTGTCTGTTTTTTGATTGACTCAACTACAGGTCCAGGGTTGCATGTGGTGTGGGCTGGAACATTGGGGCTCGCAGCACGGCACACGTACAGTGTCGTACTGACTCGTACACAGTTTTTCAAGAACCAGAAGTTTGTGAGGGGCCGCAAGCCTTAACAATTGAAAACACTTGTGATTGGGCGCGTTGATGCACGGCTCATGAAGTGCTAAAGTCCGTGTGAAAGCTGGACGCTTCAGCTTTCCCAAACTCAGCCGCGAATTTCAAGAATGTACGCAGGTGGGTGAACTTCTGGCTCACACGAAATGTGAAAACGAAAGAGCTGGGCACAGAAAGAGAACGTGACAACCTCCCCCCCCAAAAAAACGAGGCAAACCTCGTCTTTTGGCGGGCAGTGCGAGAGCTCATGTGAAAGCTGGATGCTTCAGCTTTCCCAAACCCACCCCCAAATTTCAAGAAAGCCCGCAGGTGGGCAAACTTCTGGCTCACATGAAATGTGAAAACGAACGAGCTCTGACGAGCTTTGACACCTCACAAACCTCGGTTCGTTTTTCAGACTGGTATGCAAATTCATGCATTTCAGACTTGTGCCTGCCATGTGGCAATGAATTGCTGGGATAGTGAGATAAAATGTCACTCCCAGACTTTGTAACCCAGCGATCTTGGCTGTGTGTCGGAGGATGGCCGAGATCCATGGCCAATCACCACAAGATCGCCACACATCTAGGCTGTGTACATGAATGGCTCAGATACGTGGGGGTTAAGTCCACATTTCGGTGACCAGCCACAGATCAGGGCCTTCCTCCATTGAACAGGCCGAATTTTGGGAAACTGGCAAATTCAAGTTTGGAAAACCGGCAGGTCAAATTTGGGAAACTGGCGGGGGGCAAGTTTGGGATACTTGTGGTGGGCAAATTTGGAAAGCAGGCAGTGTCAAGGTTTGAGAACCGGCCTGCTGGGGAGAGTGACGTAATTGCAGGGGCTGGAAGGCCCCTTGTAGACACAGCGTAGGGCCTACTCGCCCCATTCATTTTTTTTCAGCAGTGCTTAGCGCTGCCCGTCTGAATGAAGTTGGAAGGGCTGGTCGGCCCTCTGCATGAACTTGTTGATGGCCTGCTGCAGTGTTGCAAACCACATGCAGGAGCAGGAGAGAGAGAGAGAGAGAGAGAGAGAGAGAGAGAGAGAGAGAGAGAGAGAGAGAGAGAGAGAGAGAGAGAGAGAGAGAGAGAGAGAGNGAGAGAGAGAGAGAGAGAGAGAGAGAGAGAGAGAGAGAGAGAGAGAGAGAGAGAGAGAGTGGTGGACTTTACTCGTCAACTGTGCAGTTCTAACGGATTGCCAGCCCAAACCCCTGACAAGAACGGCAGTAAGTCTGAGAAACTAATCTGACACAGTCATAAAACCCACTCTACACACCCACTCAGCCATAGACACCCAATGACATGACCCCTAGAACGGTCCTGACCCTCAGTGATCTGCCTTGACGGAGAGCTTAGCAAGGCCGTGTTGTGTGTTGCCATATTCGCTATACAGTGTATACACATATTCGCTATACAGTGTATACACTCAAAAGAGCATGACTGTGCCAGACTGTTTCCCTTTTGTGTGTGTGTGTGTGTGTGTGTGTGTGTGTGTGTGTGTGCGTGTAGTGTGTGTGTGTGTGTGTGTGTGTGTGTGTGTGTGTGTGTGTGTGTGTGTGTGTAAGAGAGAGAGAGAGAGAGAGAGAGAGAGAGGGAGAGAGATTTATCCATGTCTTTGCCGTGTTGATTTTTCCTAAACTCTCCTCCCTTCCACCAATTCCTGTCCTCATCTGCCTCCCCCTCTGAATTATTTTCCGCCCTCCTTCCTTACCTCTGTCCTTCGTCCCTGCTTCCCTCTCCTGGTCCCCATTCTCCGGCTCAATCCTTCCCCTCCACGCCCTCCTTTGCCCCTTCCCCCTGCTCCCCTCTCCCTTCCCCTTGCTGTTGCTATTCCAGCCTACACTCCCCATTTCCCTTCTGAAAAAAGCTTCCTTGTCTTTCTCGTTTTGTTTGACAAAGTTGAGCTGGCCTTGACTCAGTTGGCATCTCAGATATTCGTTGATTGCACCAACGATTTTGGCAGGCAAACTCGATCCGATCTCCTTTGAGATTCTTTATGTACGTAATACTGACTGTCCACACCAACTGTTTTCCTCAAACCCTCGATCTCCACTTTTGGATTATGTTGACTTTCTAATTCTGAAATTAGCTGGGTCACCTGCCTAAACAGGCAGCCCTCCTCAGTCATCGGGGCGGGTGAAAAAGAGGAGGCAGCGTTTTTATTTTTTTCTTTCCCCACTCATTGACAGTGGGGCATTTCTGCACTTTCGAAGATCAACCGAAAGAAAAAACTGATTTGTATTATGGTTTTCATTGTTTTGGGTCGGGAGTTGTGGGATATCTGTGGCGTTTTAACGGTATGACCAGGTGAGCGCTCAGCTTGGGCTAGTGTCCTCGGAACTAAGATGGTATCTTCAGATTCTTCACAATATTGGACATTGTCATGGATCGTATATACCTTGAAATCCTGAAACCTGAACTGGAATGGGCAGTTCATTTTTCAGGAGGCACCAGTGACAATTTATCTGTGAAACGGAAGGCATTCTGAGCACAGGAAGAAATGCACAAACAATTCAAAACGGTCACTGCCTTGTGTTTTCAACTTTTCATTTTGAATTGTTAGTAATTTGATTTTGTGCCCTTCACTGTTTTGTTCACATTCTTCAGTTTGTGTTGTACCGTTTGATAATCCACCAAATGCAGCTGTGCATGTGCGGCTAGTATTTTCGAAGCCTCAGGAACAATGATCTCAAATTGAGAGAGAGAGAGAGAGAGAGAGAGAGAGAGAGAGAGAGAGAGAGAGAGAGAGAGNGAGAGAGAGAGAGAGAGAGAGAGAGAGAGAGAGAGAGAGAGAGAGAGAGAGAGAGAGAGAGAGACTCGATGTGTGCATTGAATTCGTACAGATTATCTGCACTTGAATGGGTTGACATGATCACCTGCGTAACTGTGTTTATGAAAAGAAGGGAATGGATATTTGACAAGTTTGTGGAATACCATTTTTTGAACGTCGGGTTTTATGACACGCCAGGGGTTTCCTCGTGTGTCGTTGGCAGGCTTCATCACACGTGATTTTCATTGGTTCACGGCTGCCGCAAATCTGGGAGAACTTTAAGGTCAGTGGGCAAAGTGATCTGTAAAATGGGCATCGAGGAACCTGAAACACTGTGCAGGGCAGTGTAGAGAGGAGACTCAAAATACTCACTGTAAAACATTCTCTATTGCTCGTGTATGCGAAACATAGCACTACTTTGACTGGAGAGGAGGAAAGCAAACCTCAATTGCACGTGCTCGCAGATGGGCTCTGTGGATGAATCACATACGCCCCCATATCTGCCTATCCATTTACACACCCAAGAACATTTAGACTGTGGCGTGAGGGTAAATGCGGCGGGAGGGGTGTGTTGCTCAAAGGAACGATGTCAGCATTAACAGCTGTTCGGCCTGACATTGCCCACTTGAACTAGTTTATGCCAGTGCCCTGGCCCAGTTCAATTGATTCTGAAAGGAGTCTGAATATTTTGAATGAAGTGTTCTACCACGCCATGATGGCAGGCGGTGCCAGCAGAAATAGGGAAAAATGTGCCGCTGGCGGTTTGGTTTCTTTGGCGTGCAGTAAAAATCCCCTTCGGGAGAAAGAGGCTCGGAGGGACTTTCTGGCCGTTGGTTCATTTGTTCAGAGTCTTCAGACACATGAGTTTTTTTGTCCTTTTTTTAGAAATAATGCAGCCACTTCTATTCTGGGAGGAGTCAGTCCAGTTGCTTATCACCGGCAAGTAGTGTTGAAGAAGCAACGCGGGAGATTAGACAGAAAAAAAGGTCGACCTATCCTTGCGGCTGGAGCCACCTATACAAGGAGGGGTTGCTTCGGCTTAACCCACCTCTGCTCTTTGGTCTTTCCTCGGGGATTGTCCTGCAAGTCGGGAAGCTTGCTAGCAGCACCCACGCATGCTGCAGGATAACATCGAAGTGGACGAGGCATGGAGGGAGGTGGGGGTGGGATCTCCTAGCAGCCCCTCAGGCTGCATATCACTCGTTCACCCTTCCTGCCGTGGTTACCTAGCCCATGTGTTCACAAGAGTTATTTTCATCTATTCTTTATTTTAGTTTTCTGTTTTTCGCATAGTGAGTTTTGCAGTTTCTCATTTTTCTTCTTCTGATGTCGTCAAGTCCTGTCTGTTCGGGGATAGTGTTGTTTCGGTTTCTTATGCCAGATAAGTGGGCAGGCCTGGTTTACACGTTTTGGCTGTTTCAGTCATTGGAGACGTACTGGACATTTATTTGTCTAGTAGGGTCTGTTCTAGCCCTTGTCAGTTCTAGGCAGGCGTAGGTGTTGCTGGTGAGACGGCAGGTGGGTAGGGGCCCAGGACATTTTTCGGCTTGTGCCACTGGCCCAGGACTTCAGCTACTCTCTTGGACTGTTGGATCGAATCAGATCTGTGCAGGAGAGCCACCAGACTTGGGACAGAGTAGCCCAGCAGTATATAGCCCAGCTTGCACAGTCAGTATGGTCACTCCGAGATGCTGCCAGTCTGCTGGATAGCAGCACTAGAGTTAGTGGAGTAGCGATGGATGCAGTAGGGCTCGTGAGAAGAGTAGGATAGGCAAGAGTGGAGGTCTGCAGCAGTAGAAGTGTAGGGCGGACCACCGACTGTGGTGGCATAGATCGGGGACATCAGCCAGCCGTAGCTCAAGGTAGTGCCTCCCACAGTCTATGTTTGAGGTCACACACATTCGTACTCAAGCGCAGGAATCTCCGGCTCTTCCGATCCTTGGAGTCACGCAGCAAATGGATCTTTCCCAATCTGCACCCCACTCAACAACCCTTCAGTCGCGGACCTGCATAACAGGCCACCTTGTAACCTCTTGTGAGTACAACAACGGCCTCGTGCTTGCTTAGCTGTGCTCTCCAAGGCGAGATCAAGTGAGGATAATGAGCTTTATTGAGGAAGTGGCATACAATGCTGCTGAATTGTGCGAAGTGCTGAGCTCAAGCACAAGATATAGTACAGCATCTGCAGTTTATGGTCTCCAGCACCTATCTCCAGTGGATGGTGCCTTGTACCATCAGGTGGTCGGAATCCCTATGGCCACTAATGCTGGACCAGAAATTGCCAATCTCACACTCTATAGAGACGAGGCACAGTTCATTGGTGAGCTTTGTCAATGAGATCTATGTGCAGCTCAAGCATGCGCATTCACACACTGGTTCGTTGATCTCATCCTATCTTGTGTCCCCCTGCTGGGTATCGGCTTGAGTGGAAAGACGCTACTGAGCAAGATGGGTCACGTCGGGGCAAGAATCTTCACTGGAAAGACATACTGGATCAGGTGCTGCAATGAGTTTGCAAAAAAAACAAAAAAGAAAGGGAAAAAAAAAAAGAGCAAATCAGTTTCCAAACCCACCTAGATAAAAATGAAAGATAAGAAGTTAGCACTGCATGGATAATGTGTTGCTGCTGGATGTCGTAAAATTCAAAACGCTTTGCTTTCTCCTTCCTCCGAACCTTGTGGCAACTTCCATTGCATATGGCTCTCCAAATAAATCTCATGCAATTAAGGTTCATAACTCTGTGTTAGTGCCTTCTCGTTGATCCTTTGAAGGTCAATCCCTCGGGTAATGTAGCAGAAATCGCCACCAGATGCCCCATCAGGTGGTGCGAATCCCTATGGGCAGTAATGCTGGATCAGAAATTGGCACATTGTGGGGAGTGGGGTACTTCACATGGCTCTGAAACTAACTCTCGCAGTGTCAGATATCTTACGACATCTGAAGTTTCTGGTGTCCACTTATCTATATGCACTGGATGGTACTCTGTGCCGTCGGGTGGTTGGAATCCATATGGGCACTCACAATCCATTGAGACGAGACACAGTTCGTTGATGAACTTCGTCATCCAGATCTACGTGCAGCTGAAGTACACGTGTTTACATATTGGCTCGTAGATCTCATCCTATCTTGGAAGAAATCTCCACTGCCTCCTGCTCGGTATGGTTTTGAGCGGAAAGACACTACAGAGCAAGATGGGTCATGTTGCCATGATGCTGGGATGAAAATCTCGGTCCGGTGCGATGGCTCATTGGTGTGTTTGGTAAGGCTGAGGCTTGGGTATTCCTTGTCATACGCTATCCCAGTGCGTCCTGGAATGCACCAGCTCAGGAGGCTGCAAGTGTGCTCACGGGACAGCTGACACGGTTTGAGCATATTTGTAACCATACTATGGACTCCAAAGCTACAGTGACTTTCCCTGACATGATGTATGCTTGGTAGGGGTCATCCTCCCAGTGCCTTGACCAGACGTTGGATTGCATATGGGCGTGGCCAGCAGTGCTGGCCACTGACTCATGGCACTCATGTTACAAACTGCTTTGGCCGTATGGTGCACCCATCAATTGCTCACCCGCTGCCGAATGCCAATTCTGAACACAGGCAGCATCAGCCCTCCACACAACCCCAACCCCATGCTGTGGGCCCCCATCCACTCGCGAATGCCAATTCCGAGTACAGTCAGCATCAGTCCTCCACAGAGCCACACACAGTCATCCTTCCCTCCCCTTCTATTACTACCGGAATGGCAGTTGCTAATGTGGGTACTGCAATCTGGCCCAGCCAGCCATAGCAGACATCATAAATGTTGTTCAATTGGCTGCAGGTGATGATAGCCTCCATCCTACCAAATGCTGCTGCTGATGCTGAAAGTGTTGCTTCTGTCTGCTCCTCCACCACTAGCACCATCAGCAGCAGCAGCAACACCACCACCACCATTGTCCTGCAGCTCCTTCACTTGCAACTTCCTCTCCATCAACTGGTTCTCTCTTCCTCCTTGCATTCCTTTTTTAACTGCATCCTGATCTACCTCCTCCTCATCCTCGCATTTCTCCCACTGATCAACACGTTCATGATCAGATAGGGGTTCACTACCTAATAAAGAAGTAAGTCCAACTCTCATGCGAGCGCCTGGTGGCTCATTCATCTGTCCATAAACTAGAGCCACTTCAGATTCAGAAATGTTTTCTTCGTTAATGACATGTGTACAATTTCTTATGTATGTTATTATATAATGTATATACATTGTGTATACACTAAATATTTGTCATGTATATACACATATTTTTTTATATTTTATATAATATATTACATATATAGTCAAACAGAGCTGCCCTGTAAACCGTAGGCAGAGAGGGAGAAGAGGACAACAAACAAGGGGCTGTGACAAGCTGTTTGTTGAGTTTCACCGATGCATCAGGAGGCTGAACCCTATCATATATGTATTTGATGATATATGTACAAATAGACTTTTTTTTTTTTTTTTTTTTTTTTTTTGAACCTTCGGTGATAGAAATAGACATACAACATCAATCTTTGACTTTCAACGAATGATAATCTGATCTTTTATGAGTCAAATCAACCGTGAGGTGGCCCTTGAAAAGTCTTTGTATAAGCAGGAGGAATACGTAAATCTTCCAGACGTGAAGCTCTTACCTTCAATAGATGTGAGTAAATTTGTTATTGATCTTCCTTTGTGTCGGTCCTAGCTAGTTATGCAAAAAAAAAAAGAAAAAAGAAGAGCTAATGTGAGTAAGGATACTATTTCCAATATGATAACTGATAAAAGAATTAGTAATTTAAGTAGAGCTAGAATAGTCCAAATTCCAGCGACACGAAATGCTAGAAGTATTGCAAAAGTTCGCTCCATGAAGGATTTATATATTTTGGGTGAAGTTGTTATTTTCAATAAGAATTATTCTAATATTCTTTACCAACTTTGACATTAAAATATGAAGGATGAGCACGTGAACCATATATAACTAGGAGAAAGTGTCAATTGGTTGTACAAAACTGCCTTTTCGACTTCCAGGAGAGGAGGATGCAGTTTGGGTAGACATATAGTACGGTTTGATGAACAGATTACAAATACATGAATAATAGAATGGAATAAAAACATACTTTTCTATTGAAAATATAAGTAAATAAAATGTGTAGAGTCTGTAGAGTAGTTATAATTAGAATAAAGAATGAATAAAATAGTATGCAATCATCAATCTTCTATGTTGATTTTTGTTTGTGTAAAACTATAAAAGGAGAAAATAAGATAAATTATGATTTATCTTTTTT